ATGTGGAGTGTGTATTTGAGTGCTAAATAGAATGGAATGGAATGGAATGCTGCCTGCTGGTTATGGGAAGAACCCGATCAAGCTCGATGTACTCCAAATTTAATTGACCAAAACAGATTTTTATTGGGTAGGAAAATCCAAAGGGGAACTAATTTAAATTAAAGAAGATATAGAGAGGGAATTTGGAGGGGTATTTGGACATTAAATGGTATAAGAAAAAGGTGTTTTGTAAGATTGTGGAAGATGTATTTACTCCTCTTTAAATTCTATTAAGTTATTATTTTATGATAATGTACGTGACTTGCTTAAAAATATTATAAATAAATAAAAAATTATTTATTAAATTATATAATATTTTATATTATTAAATATTGTATTCCATATAAATATAAAATATTTAAATAATTTTTTTTATTATTATTTGAAGAAAATTTATAACATATTATCTCCTTTATTACAAATAATAAAATTATGGCCAGTAAATGGGTAATTTACTTTGTTTAGTTCAACTAAAATTGCTAATTAAGTTAATTAAATAATAATAATATCTATTTTATCGCGTTCTTTGTTGAAGTAAGCTTTAAATTTATACAATTTTTAATAATTCAAAGGACGTGACAAAATAATTAAATTCTTGCTCGACAAATTAAGCTTTAAACGTATACAATTAAAAGATAATGAAAATTAATAACCAATATTTATAGATTATTTAAAAAGGAAAATATTTATTTTTCAAGTTTGATTCTTACAAATATTCATAAAATATTTCCCTAATCAGTAAAAAATCTCAATTTAAAATCTTTTTAAGTAGTCAAAGCTGATTACATACACAAATCAATTTAATTAAATTTTCAACAACTTGACTATACATTTTAGGAGCTCCTCCTTAACCCTCATTTGCCGAAACCTAATCCCTTTTATATTTTCGCCACAATTCGCGCCGGTTTGTATTGACTTTTGTGTTGGCTTGCGGAGCCACTGCACTTGCGCAAAAGCCCAGCTAAGCACCGAAACCCTACAAGAGTTAACCGAAACGAAACCCGTCTTGGGTATGGTCAGTAATGAAATAAAGCCGAACTGAGCCAACTATTGGCGGCTACTTAGTATGCCCGGCCCGAGTTCGACACTCTAAAAAAGGCGGCGCAACGCAACGTTTCGGTTTCTATTGGATTGTTGGTGGTGGTGGTGGCTTATTAATTACCTCACAACCACACAATTGCGTGGCACATACAAAACACCCACCAGAAGGATAGACAGGGAGAGAGATCCGGGGACCTGGTGGGGCTTTTCAGTGGCTTTTGTGTGTGTAGAACCCACAAAAGGCGTTGGACAGTGGCGGGTAATACGAGTAATCCGAAAATGGTTCCCCGGCTGATGAAGTCAACAGCCTGAACTCGTTTGAAGTTTAATTTCCCTCCATCTCTCTCTATTTCATTTATTATTTAAATTGAATTTTGATTCGCTATTTGGTTTTCCTCCATATGCGAATGAAGAGCTCAAGAAAATTGAGAGTGACTTTGTTGATTTTTGTACATTTTTTTTTTATTTTTTGCAAACTCGTTTTTGCATATTTCTCTGTCGTTTGCTGTTGGTTACTTTCAAATGTCAAACGAAGTTGAAGGTGGTCCACAATGATATTTGATTTTTTCCTCGGCTACTCGTGTATAATATGATTTATATTGAGTCATGTTGGAAATGAACGCAGCAGCAGTGCCTTGAGAAAACAAAAGACTTGAGCAAAAAACTTGTTTTTGGATTTGGTTTTTCTTATTTTACCTTTTTTAAATACTTGAAATACCTATAAAAATAAGATAATAATAGAGTTAAATGAAGGTGAAGGAACTGTTATTTCAAAAGATTTATAAATATATTTAACTAAACGATTTTAGCAATAAGTATTAATTTTTTATATACTTATTTTTTTAATAATTAAATTAAAATATTTTATTATTATTATGACAGTTTAGACATTAAATTATCATATTTTAGTATGAATATAATTGTGTAGACGTCATAAAATTGACATTAAGATATCCTTAAAAATACATGAAATATTAGAAAAAATATTTTAAAAGATGATTTATTTATTCAAAAAATTCTAAAAATGGCAAAAATAAGGCGTTCAAATGCAGTTTATTATATTTTCTTTAATAAAAAACAAACCCAGATTTATCCAAGAAATTTATTTAAAATAATAGCGCCATTCAAATCAAAAGAGGATATCTGGTGAAAACTCTGCAAAATTTACCTTTACACAAACCCAAACAAATTGCATATTAAAATCGCATTAAAATGTTTGGTTTCAACCATTTATCATACCTTCACTTACGGATTCAATTAAATTCAATGCACGATGCGCAGAAAATCCGCAGATGGCAAACAATTCCAAAAGCGATTCCGAAAAGTCATAAGCAAAGTCGTGTCCCGGGGCCCGGGTGAAACTTAATGAAGCCTGAGAAAGTTGCTCAAGGCTCTACGCAGGTGACAATCATTAAAATAAAGCAACAAATAGCTAACTAACTAACAAAATACAATAACCACAAACAAAACTGAAAACTGCAGGAAAAACTCCGACATAAAAAAAAAAATGCGATAATTGCTAACAAATTTGTACGACAAGCGCATGCCAAACATGCAACAAAACAAAAGCCACAATGCTTTTGAAGAGCTCCTCTGACAGGCTTAAGGCTAACTAATTGCATTTTTATTTAGCTTTTTTGGCCAGGTCTTAAGAACACTTTAAGCCAGACGTCAGCTTAATGCAACTTTTCCCTCCTGTCTTGCCTTAACTTCTGGTCTTAACCTGGTCTGCTGTGATGTGTGTGTGTGTTGTTGCATCTTCTCGGTTTCTGCAATGACCCAGTTTTATGCAAGTGGAACGCTTTGACCAACAACTGCAACACGGCAACACAGCTATTGACCATAAATAGTGAGCCGTGGATCTATGGCCAAGTCGAAGAATAATGAAATAGGAGAGGATACCGTTCGCAAAATATCAAAAGTCTTAATGGGATTGTATTGGGGAAGAAGTAGTAGGTTTTTAAAGAGATTTTTTGGTTAACAATTTGAATGAAGAAGAGGTTTTTAATTGGTTTAAAGAAGGAGTTTTTAATTAAACCAATTAAGGTGTTAGTCTTTTATATGAATCTGGCTTATTTAAAGGCTTAAAATTTGTGTAAAATGAATATAAATTTAATTAAATGAAGTTACTTGAACTAAAGTGAAAATGGTTAGAGCCGTGTTTATAATAATAATTCGTCAACAGTTTATATTTAATTTTATAATTTTATATTTAAGAAAACAGTTTTAAACCTTTTTCTTCTCATTTCTTATTTATCTAATCTCTAAAATCTTTAAAATATCATCGATAACTTTTTCTCCAAGTCATACAAAAGTGGCTGCCAAACAAACTCCTTTCCCCAAGACACACTCCACTCAATGGGGCTTCGACTTGAAGTCTTTCTCAATGAAGGCTTATAAAGAATTGACTCTGCCGGCCAGGTTTCAGGTTTCGTTCTGAGTGGAAGAGAGCTGGCAGAGTGGCTGAAGAGAGAGAAACCAGTTTCTTCTGGGATGCTGGAAGAACTTTCTTCTCATTGATTCTAGGCGGCCTGCATATAAATAAATAAATTAAGAGACTTTCTTTATGGCAGAGTCTGTGTGTGTGTGTGTGTGTGTGTGGTGTCATCATCTATTCAATTCTCGCCGTTGATCGGCTCCTAAGCTAACGCCTTACTTCGGCTGACCCAAATACTTGGTGGCTCTTTCACCATAGAGGTCAGAGCCGAAGACTGGGCCTGGTCTGGGCCTGGCTTTCGTGCACCTTGTGTCATTATGTGACTGGGTATCCGATCTCTCGGGTCTGTTGGGCCAACAAGCGGACAGATTATAAACACCAAGCCATTTACAAGTATTTCCAGTCCTCGGGCTGGGGCTCGGGCTCAAGCTCTTTCGATTATACGCATCTTTATCGGCATCTTCATTAGTTTGACCCAATTTCTGGGGAGTTCTTTTTACTTTCTATTTTCCCTCGATCATCTTAAGAATATATATATGCATATCTTCTTTTTTTATGGGTCTCTTGTTAAGCTTTTGATTTGGGGAAGTCGATTTACTTTCATTTGAGGAAATCTCTTTCGTTTTTTTGTGATTTTATCGGTTATTATAATTATTATAGATGTGTGTATGCCTGGGCGTTAGCCATGGCCACTTCCGTTTCGTTGGAGAAATGAAAACGAAAATTGGTAATAATTATTCAAATTTTATGGATAAACTGAGAGAAGGAAATTTAAATTTAAAGAGAAAAGGAAATGATTATTAAAATTAGGTTTAGTAGAAAAACTACTTTAATATTTTTCAATTTGTTTCAAGACCAAACAGAATTAACCTTTATTAACCTCATGTGGTTAGTCTTTTTTGATGAAAAAAGATTTCCTCACTTCACATGTGGCTTAACCTTTAATGTTCCCATCAACCTTTTGGCTCAACATGCGTGCTCCTATCTGGGTCGCATATTGCCAATTTCTTTTGGCCATAAAAATCCATTTATTTATGGGTCAAAACAAAACAAGAGTTATAAATCTCAAGAGCAACATATAAATCCCACAAACTGAGTGCTCTAATCGATCGGCTTGGGCTTCGATTTCGGGCGAATAGAAAGCTGATCGGACAATTAACATAATGATTTGATAAAGACAAAAGATGAAATCACTTTGCCGGCCATCAAAGTTCTTTCTTTTTTTTTATTTTTTTTGCCAATATTTGATATTTTGGCCTGATATATATTGACAAATGGTTTCGGCTGCTTGCTGTGAAACCAGGTCAAGTGGTGATAAAGGGCTTTCGATGGAAGAAATCCGACTGATAAAATGATTTGATGGACAGTTTTAGAGGCTTCATTAAGTTGTATTTAAATATTTAAATATTAAGATGGATCTGTTGGCCTATAAGAGCCGTTAAGTGTCCGGGCCAGCTCCTCAGTTCTCGTTCGCTACGCGATTCGTTCGGTCGGTCGGTCGTTTTCGCTGGAAATATGAAATTCGATCCGCCGTTTTTAGTTCTCCTAGCTCTCCTAGGGAGTTGCCATCAGAGCTGGGCTGGCCGCCAATATAATTACAAGCCGCCTGGTCGCGGTTACTTCTACCCAAAGCCAGCAGCACCACCAGCAAGATTGCCACCTCTGCCAGTCAATGGATCTTTGGTTATAACCTCACCATTGCCATCGCCACCGCCGGGCGTGCAATCGGACTTCATTGACGATCTGATCGAGGGCCATAAGCAGCAAATCTTATCGAATGTCCTGGGCGTGGCCAGTGAAACTCCCTCGGATCCGGTCTCATCTTCAACCGCCTCCCAATCCCAGCAATCCTCGCCAGCCGCCCCATTTCCATTTGCCCCCCTCGAGGGCGGTGGTGCCAAGGCGTTCCGCGTTAATCGCTGTGCCAGCTGCAGTGAGTTTGGGGATAATACCCAATACCATGCTCTATAACACTCCATAGAAGTGGTTTGAGGTCTAGTGCCGGGGGAATGAAACGATCCCGGCTAATCGCTGGCTAATAATTGCGAATTTCGAGTTGGTTATTGTACGCCTATCGGGGGAAACGCATTAAATCGAGAAACGTGTTTACGGAACGTGCTGTAAACATGGGCAAACAACTTAATTTTTGCCTTTTTTCTGGCCATTTAAACAGAACTAATCGTTAAAGGTTATAACTTTAATGGTTTGGCAAGGGAAAAAGTGAAAAATAGTGCAGAAATCAAGGTTTAAAATAACAAAATATTTCATTCTAAAAAAGAATTATTTTTTATTTTATTTAATGCAAGAAATATTTCATTTTAAATTCAGAAAACTGTAACAATTTTGAATATATTTCAGATGAATCGTTTTTATCAAACAGAATTTATCGCTCATATATCGCAACTATTTGTATATCGACTTTTGCGTTTAATATCGATACAGTATCGTTATACCTAAGTTCTGATAAATCTTCTTTTAAAATTAAAACTAAATGTCTTATTAAACAGATGACAAAATCATTAGCAATTTATTTTCTTTTATAAGAAATTCATAAATAAATATTTTTAAAAGCAAAGAGCTGCTAAAAGTTTTATTAAAATGTATTTTATAATACAATTTCAATCAGTTTCTTATTCGATAAATCTACAAAGTTCACTCCGTTTCCCCTCTCGATTTCATTCCCCCTCGACTGAGACACTTTTCCATGCTGAAGACCACCCAAAGATCCAAAGAACCCTGTCGAATCGCAAATCCTCTTCTTACAGCCTGCGGCGTGCCCAATGTGAATCGCATCGTGGGCGGCTCTCAAGTGCGGACGAATAAATATCCGTGGATTGCTCAGATCATACGCGGTACCTTCCTGTTCTGCGGCGGAACCCTAATCAACGATCGCTATGTCCTGACCGCCGCCCACTGTGTCCACGGCATGGACATGAGGGGCGTGTCCGTGCGCCTGCTGCAGCTGGACAGGAGCTCCACCCATTTGGGTATAACCCGATCGGTGGCCTTCGCCCATGCCCATGTGGGCTATGATCCGGTGAGCCTGATCCATGATATCGCCCTGCTGCGACTCGATCAGCCTATACCCTTGGTGGATCCAATCCGTCCCGCCTGCCTGCCCACCAACTGGCTGCAGAACTTTGACTTCCAGAAGGCCATTGTTGCTGGTTGGGGTTTGAGCCAGGAGGGCGGCTCCACTTCGAGTGTCCTGCAGGAGGTGGTGGTGCCCATCATCACGAATGCCCAGTGTCGGGCCACGTCGTACAAGTCGATGATTGTGGACACTATGATGTGTGCTGGCTATGTCCAGACGGGCGGCAAGGATGCCTGTCAGGTGGGTGTTTTAGAAAAGAGTGGAATTTCCTTTTTAAATAAAGATTTTATCCTTCATTCCTTTTTCCTTTAATTAAATTTTTCTAGGGTGACAGCGGTGGTCCTTTGATAGTCAGGGATCGAATTTTCAGGCTGGCTGGTGTGGTGTCCTTTGGCTATGGCTGTGCCAAGCCCGATGCTCCTGGCGTCTATACTCGCGTCTCTCGTTACTTGGATTGGATAGCAGTGAACACAAGGGATTCCTGCTATTGCATTAATTAATTTAGCCATAAAAAAAGAGCTTATTTATATATTAAAATTGTGAAATAAAATTATTTAAATGGTTTATTATTTTAAAATTTAATTAAACATTTACAAACCATAAATAAAATTGCCTAATATATTTTTATTACTAAAAATTAGATCAGCAGCTGCCCACACAATCTTATAAAAAATCCAGTTCTCTTGTTCAATCGCGGAGTTGTATTACTTTATTTTCTGACCCACGCAACTCCCTCTCAATCGACATCTGGTTTTACTTTCTTAATGCAAAAGAAATACAAAAAAGGTACAAATTTTACAAATATTTTGTGGAAACAGGTTATGGAAACCCTTTCACTTTTTAAACCCGCAAAAAAATCAATATAAATCGAAGTTAAATCTTGAAAACTAAAGCCAAGGACATTGCCTGACACATTGTTATCACATTTGTGCCACAAGCTCTTCTTTTTGGATTCCTTCAGAGTTGACAAAAGTTTTATCTTTATCCCTTTTCGGACCTGGTCTCGCCGGCCGACAGTTGTTTAATGGATTTTCAAGTTATTTCTGGTATTTTGTTGTAGTTGCCGCTGCTGCATGTCGCAGAAATACGGCGAAAACAAAGATATCTCGGCGGAGGAAAGAAACTCGTTTGTGGCTAGGGGCCAAAGAAAATGCCGCATAATTGCCGCCGCCACGGGGGCGGGGCCTTAAAGGGGAGGCCGGGCAGGGTCTATACCTAGGACAGGGACGGACATCAAGGGGATCAACTTAGAGGGGATATGGGGGGTAGGGGATATGGAGCCACCGAATCGACAATGTTGTCAATGCTGCCAGGCTGCCCTGGCATTTGATTTTATTTTTAACTAGACTATAATTGATGCCCGGCATTGCTGGGGTTATCGAGAAGGCAGCACGACACCAGAGGGGAGGGAAATCTGCGACAAAAATGAGGCGAGTTCAGGGAACAAGGTAGTTCATATATAGAAATGTACTACTAAAAATGCTCTAGGAGTTTTAATGATTTTTCTTGTAAGCTTTTCGAATCGATTTTACTTTTAAGAAATAGTACAAGTAAATGAGTTTTTCATTTAATTTGTTATACAATAACTTTTTTTAGGTTTATTTCTAAATATAAAATAGAATATATTAACAATTTTAAGATTCTTAGCACAGTTTCTTTCTGCACTAAAAGCAAACTTGTTTGTTTTGATTTCATTTTAAAAACTTCATAATATTGTTAAATTCTAACAACTGTTGTAGAAGCGGTTTATAATTTTTCTATTTTTTTTTAATTGTCCTATAGATAACATTCTCCCATCATCCTTGGCCTAAAATATCAGCTAAAATTAGCCAAGATAAACAGATAAAACTTATTACGCTTAAAGCAACTATTAAAATTAGTTATGCTGTAAAATTACCTTGCCAGAAACTAGTTTACCTTCAAATTTCTTGAATTCTTTTTTTTTCTTTTGTGGTTTTTGATAATTTTATCAGATTTTTAGACTACCTTGAGACGAAGAGGGTTTTACTACGCTTCGCTGGCTAATTTAACATAATTCTCACATAAATCTCCAGCGAGTTTGGGTAGAGAAATTTTCACGCCTCGCTGAGGGCAAAGTAAAAATCCATTTCTGGGCTTAATTTCCTTGGAGTTTTTAGTTTTTATATTATGGCAAGGAGTAATAACAAATGTCCTAAAATGTGGCCAACACGAAGTGCTAACAAAGAGCCCGACGAGCATCATCAATACGGCACTTTGCTGCCAAACCGCAAAACATTTTAATAAATTGCCAGTTATTAGTTACTTGCGAAGCAGAAGCGGAAAAAGTGCAATTAAAATGCATTCCAAGCCAGGGAGGGAGGGAGGTGGGGATGTAAGAGGGGACAAAGGAAGTTCCGCAGCAAAAGAAAATTAGCATAAGCATTGACTTTTTTCCTATAGGGGAGCTACCATAAAAAAAAGAGAAGAAAAACACTGTTGCGCTAGTTTCCCATAATTTGCCCCAGCAAAGATAATGAGCAAGAAAGAGTAGTCAACGGTTGCAGGGGGGGGTCTGTGTTGGAAAATGGGGGAAAGCCCCCCCTGAAGAGGCGGGAAAAACTGCGGTCAGTCGCATAGCAAATGGTGTGAAACTTTGCTAAGAGTTGGGGGAAGTTGGGGGGTTGCATTGTTCAGTGGCGGCGCACTTGCTTTTTGTTTTTGTTGCTATTGCTATTATAATTAGCCAGCGCTCCGGCAATTTGCATAAATGTTTTTAATTAAACGCATTTAAAGCATATTTTTCAAACACTCACACACACAGCCAGCAAGTGAATTTGCTAATGAAATCGAATTGAGGGGGAAATGGGAAGTGGCTTCAAGTTAAAGGTTATTAAGCCTAATATGGGAACACGCCAGGGAAAGTAGTAAAAAAATATTAAACAATTGCTCTTCGTGGGGCGCTAAGATAAGAGATTTTAAATTGGACTCTTAATGGGATCATTCATGGCTAGGCTTTAAGCAGGAAATTGAATTAAAGATGGCTTTAAGCCGGGCTTTTCTTTTATGGCCAGAAAAAGTGGTTTTCAAACCTAGATGTTACGGTTATTGAAATTTCTTTTAAATATGTTTTAATTAACACATAAATTCCTGAAATTAAAAATATATATAACTATCTAGGGATATTTAAAAGAAATTCTTATAATATATAATATATGAATAAAAATATCGCTTTTAATATTATATTGGAAATACTTAGATTTTTTAAAAAATAGATAAATATTGCATTGCGTTATTTGTACAAATTATTTATTATATTTTAAGTCTATTTATAATTATATAATTTTTATCGATTTGGCAACGTTATGTGTTATATCGATTTATTTATCGAAAGTAATTTTATATAATTTTTAAGTAATGGTGGATATCTAATCGAAAATGATAATTTAATATATCAATTATATATTGTATGCCTATATATATAGATATATTGTATGTTATATATTATATGACTATTATTATAGTTTTATATATCGGTATTATCGAGAGTAATTGGTTATTTCCCTTTACGATTATATTATATTAAATAAATAAAAGAAAATATTCTTTTATTGATAAATATAAAATTATATAAATATTTTAAATCGAATTTTACGTCAAATACTGACACAGTAATTAAGAAAAACATATATCACTTGCCATTTTCATGTAATTTCTCTAATTATTTACCTCTATCCATGTTTTCGAGACATTAAGCTTAGAAAAAAATGGAAACTAGTTCAATTAGTTACCAAACAAAACCCGAAACACCTTCATTATTATATAACACCAAAGGGAGACAAAAAAAAATCAACCTCAATCAACTGCCAACCCACGTATCACTCCCTTGTCACTCTAAACTAACCGCATCCGAACTAACCATAAAATCAAGTCAGAGACGGAGGCGATTAACTTGTTCCATGAACTTTCAAAATGCAACGCCAAAAGAAATGAAACGAAACGAAAAGAAACCCCTCGAAAAAAAAGATCCCACACCAAGCTTGCCAAAAACTCGATTCAGCCTCGGTTATTTCCTTCCTGTGTGCACGACAACCGCAAACTCTTTTTTAGTGTTATTTTTTAGCTACCTCAAATGTGCAAAAAAAAAAGAAGTACGCAACAATTTATGTCAACTTTCTTTTTATCAAACAAAAAGAAGGAATCAACGTGTTGCGGGTAGACAACAAAAATTCCAAACAATTTTCAAAGCCACCGCAAAAAATCTTGCAGCACACAGACTCCAGCTTCGACTCCGACTCCCACACAAAGTGAGGCCGTCAGGTGGGTTTTTGTTGGACTATTGGGCCTGGGCCTGTGCCTGAGCCTGGTCTTCGCTTCGAACAGATGATTTAGCGACGGGTTTTTCAGTTTCCACCAGTTGCGGAGTTGCCTCCAAAAGAGCTGCAAGAAAGTTGCCGAATCACGATGGCCCGACTCCTGCCCCTTCTTCATACATACATTTTTTGGGGGAGAGTAATCGAAAAGTATGCGCTGCCTTGGCGGACAGGTGACCAATAACCACGACACTGGTTGGTTCAGTTCTTAAACTTGTTTCAATTTACTGTATTTTTTACCGCTACCGTTGTTGTTGTCGTTGTTGTTGTTGTTTCTGTTATTGGGGCATTGAATACCCTTTTTTCGTTTGGAATGTTGGGTATTTTCTGCTTCAGGACATTCCCAGGATTTGCTTATAATTGAAAAGGTGTGGAAAAGTATGCTAGGAAATATTTATTGTAAATTGAAAACGATTCGAAATCAACTGAAATGGTGTCGGAAAGTATGCAATGAAAGGTATTTCTTGTTATTTAAAAGGTGTGAGCAGAAAATTTGTGAAAATAATTTTAATTGATATTTAATTAAAGGGGATTGGAGCAGAGAAAGTATTCCATGAAAAGTATGGATATGTTTGATATATTGAAAATATTTTAAGACTGATTTTGGATACGTTGAGAATTTCATAGCATACTTTTAGACAGCCTTTTTAGGGGTTTTCATAACCCAAATACTTTCTATAGCATCCTAGATATATTTTTAATTTAAAATATTTTTAGCAATTTTTAAAATATAATAATATTAAAAATATAATAAAATCCTTTAGGGCAATTCAATTTCTACAGCAAAAATAGCAGACTTTTCACTTAAGTATTTATGTAGCTTGTATTATTTTTCAGACTTTTCTCTGCGACTGTCCTTATCACGTATTTTGTTCTTCTCTTTTTTTTCTTGCTTTACTTTTTTATTTTTTATGTGGCTATAACTGTTATTTTGGCCAGTTGGTGTGTGTGTTTGTGTGCCCGGTAACTACCAATGACGGGAGCAGGAACAAGAACTGGACCGGGATTGCGATTGGCAAACGAGTCGAGTTGGGTCCCTGGCCTGGGCCTGGAACATCACAAATCTGAAATCAGTTTCATTATATAAATGGTTACCTTTAGACAATGTGGCAGACAGTTTGGGCTGGCTGGCAGGCCCAGTTTTTTTTTTGTTGCTCCTCTAAATTGCACACAATTTGTGCTGCATAATGTCAAAGTTGGTTTCGCGCGAGGGCTTGGTGAATTGGATTTGGTATCCGTTGGATGAAAGTAGCTCAAAGTAACGCACTTGACTTCAATTAGACAGCGAGCACTTACCAATTGCCCGGCTTGGGCTCCCTTTTCCCGGGTGGGAAGTGTTTTTCGTTGGCCCATCTCAGTCGCTGGTCAAACAGCTTCCTCCTTGAAAATGGCAAACTGTGTCAGTCAGCAGCGACTTTGACTGGCATTCGTCTGCCATACCCCCACCATCCACCATCTCCCATTGCATCCCATTTCATGGCATCCGACTCCAGTTCCTCTGTACCCGATCTTTGCCAGCGCCCATCTCGGCCTTTCTCAGGGCCCCATTTGGTCATTTTGTTTGTCCCCGACACTGAGAAATATTGGGCTTCAGTTAGGGAATTAATTTAGATTAAATTGGAAATTAAATATTTTTATTAACACCAAAGAAAATATTTAAAATAATTTTTAAAGAATATTTTAAATGTTTTTAGGAGTTTCTGTTTCCTGAATTTTCCTCTCGATTTTCCCCTCTGTTTTTTTTGTTTTCTGTGCGCCTGTCCAGCGGCTGCCAGTCAGCCGCCACTGTCCATCCAGAACCCGCTGCTCCTTCTCCCCTGTCCCGGATTCTGTTGCTTTGTTTGGCTTCCCCTGTCCTGCCTGGCCCCGTGGGCTCTCTCTAACTGTTTGTGCTATCCCAAGTGTTGACTGACAGGTGCCGCCGGAGAATTTTGGCGCTACAAAGTGCATAAATAAAAATTTTTCTGCAACTATGTTGACAGTGGAACATGGCAGCTAAGGAAAAAGAGCCGAAAGAAAAAGAAAATCAAAAAAGAAAAGCACGATTCTGCCATCCATTAGTTAGATGAGGGAGCAAAGGAGAGAGTGCAAAAAGCAGGAAGCTGGAAGAATTATGGCGACGAGTTGTGATTGCGGATTAAAGTTTGGCTTAAAGTGTTTTTTTTAACTTGCTTAAAAGTATAAATTAAACGAGAACTTAAAGTGTTTATATTTTTATGGATATTGTAGTGACGAGAGGTGAAAATTGAGCCATAAATAAGAAGTATATATATCAAAGGTTTAATGTTGCTCAAAAACAGTTTTTGCTTTGCTATTTACTTAATAATATAGTTATAATTGGTAAAACTTAATATATAAAATTCTAGAGGTGGCAAAAATATATATAGTTCTAAAATAAAAGTGTTTTTGGGAAGCTTCTGATTCAATCAGATCAATAAAAAATCACTCTTAAAATTTATCCAATATTTTAAGCTTTTATTTAAATTTAATTTAATTTATTTATATATTTTTAAATATATATAACACTAAGTTTCTTAGGTCTTATTTTCTACATAAAACTCTTGCGACCTCTATTGTTTCCTTACGTAAACGCAAAATTTTACATGTATCTTACATGCGACTGATCGACAGTTTTGGTTTGAAACCTTGCTTACACCAACATTTCAACAACGATTTTCAAGTAAAGACACACACCACTGCAGTAACCTTTTAAGCAAGATCACCAACCTTCAGTTTGAAATTTTTACAATATTTTACTTTTACTTAAATATTTGTTAATCATTTATTTGAATATTTTACTTTACTTTCATTGATTTTTTGTTAATATTTAATTTATTTTCCCTTGCAGATTCTCACTTAAAGCGTGAAAAATGGCCTCTGCAACACAGGCCAACGGCACAGCAAAGACCGCCACCGTGGCCGATAACGACAACGATAACGACTACATAACAGTTGTAGAGGTCGATGACCCCACATCGTCCACAAAGGATCGCCTGAAAAAGCTAGTCAAACGGCAATCATCCGTGGCGGAGGACTCCTCCTTCATCACAGTGCTGACCATCAACGAGATGGAGTTGCTGCAGCAGCGTCGCCAGGAGGAGGAGGAGGAGCAGGCGGAGGCGGGCGACAGTTCCTGCATCCAAATAATGGAGGATCAGGTGGAGGATGTCACAGTGTTCCGGCTGCCAGGTGAGCGTCTGGGCTTCGGTTTAAAGTTCCAGGGCGGCACGCGGAGCACAGAGCTCGTCCAGAAGCTGTACATACAGTCCTGCGCCGCCGACAGTCCCGCCTCCAAAGTGGCCACCAGCTGGGGCAATCTTCGCGAGGGCGACGAGATCGTGCGGATTGATGGCCATGATGTCAGGGAGATGACTCGCATCGACTGTGTGCGCGGTCTCAAGGACAATGTGGCCATCCAGCTGGTGGTGCGCAACGGGCACGGCCAGAAGCCGCCCAGCGAGGAGGAGTCCCAGCAGCAGCTGGAGCAGCTATCGATCACACTCAATGCCCAGCCACCGCCGCCGCCGCCAGTGCCACCGAGGAAACTAGTGAGGCGACAGAACTCCAAGGAGAATCCTGGACAGCTGCAGGCCGTGGAGAAGCCTTTAACGCCGCCGCCGGATGCGGAGTACTACATCAATCTCCTCACCGAGTCGATCAAGGCCGGCTCCGAGTCAGATGACACCGCCAGCACCATATCCACAGTCATTGACAAGTTCTCCATGGGCTCCAACTACTCCTCGGACAGCAGCCTCAATGGCCATGAGTTGGCCAAGGTCCTGCAGCCCTTTACCCTCCTGGAGCAGGAGTTTCTGCCCTTGGAACAGCCGATGGGACACCCCAAGCTGCTCATACCCGGGAACAACTATGAGAACGTTGAGTTCAAGACGGAAAAGGTGAATGTCTACGAGAATGTGGTTTTAAAGAGTCCGGAGACTACGCCTACGCCAAAGCCCAGAGTCCAGTTGGTGGCCACCGTGGAGCCCAAGAAGCGATCTATTATACCAACTCCCCGCAAGATTCCTACGCCCAGTAAGCTGCCCATTGAGGTGGCACCACCAAGAGTGCCTCCTCCAGCCGCTGAGGAACCTAAGACTCCTACGAATGAGAAGCTGGATTCTCCAAGGACACCCACAAATGAGGGAGTAAAGGAACCCCCCACCAGTGCCACCAAAATACCCAAGGCCAACTTCTCGCGGGCCAAGACAGAGGGTGAGATCAAATTGCATCTTCAGCCGACGAAAAAGGAGTCTCCTTCGCCGGCGGTCAAGTCGCGCATACCCATAGTCACAACTCCCACACAAAAGGTGGTGTCCAAGCCAGTGTCGCCGCCGCTTAATGGAACCTCGAGCATCCCTAGGCTACTGCAGAAGCAAAAGTCCGAAACGGATCTCAAACTTAATCTATACCGAAGCAAGTCCAAGGAGGCGAGTCCCAGGCCACCCCTGCAGAGAGCCAACTCTGCCGAGGCGCCAGAGCGCACCTTTATACCCGTCCTCCTCAATGGCAATGGCAAGAGTTCCAATTCCCTGGAGAGCATCAGTTCGAATGGCAGTAACAGCAGCGGGAACAGCAGTGGAAGGTCACCCAAAGGACCCAAACCCAAGCCTCCAGAGCGAGTTCAGTCGCTGCAAAAGACTCAGATACCCAAGTTGCAGTCCCTGCCCACCACTCCGCCTCAGCAGCAGCCCAAGCTGAGCATGCAGACCTTCCGACAGAGTCCTCCCACGCCCAGGTCCACGCCAGTGGGTACTCCCTCACCCACAAGTAATCGCGAGATACGCTTCAAGATTCAGACGTACGAGAACAAGGCCCAGGAGGAGGATAAGCTGCCCAGTCTGTTTGACCTGGTGCACAACACCAACCACCCGGAGGACAAGGATACTGATTCACTCAAGACCCACAATAGTATCACGGCTCTACTGGCCGCCGCCGCTGCCGAGGCTGCAGATCTCTCACGGGAATCTCCTCCACCCCTGGTCGTGGGCAAGTGCATGAAGATTGCGGATGACAACCAGAACACCACTTGCTACTCCAGCTCTAGCAGCGGCGAAGATGAGGATGAGGAGGATGAGCTGGATGCGGCCAACAGGGAGTATGTATGCGAGGATGGTGAGAAGCTGGGACCACCGGAGCTGATCAATGGACCGGGACCCTCTGAGGCATACTTTAACATGTTTTGGCACTCCAATATGCTGCCCACCATTGGTGAAGTTGAGGAGGAATTCTCCTCTTTGGAACCACAATCCCTGACCAATGGGTGAGTAATGGGTGTTTGATTGGGGCTGATGTCACTTATGATATGGGATAAGATTAGAGAGTTTATATATATGAGAATAAAGTAACTATTAGAGGGTTACTATTAGAGGTTTGTGGTATTTTTTCAGGGTTAAAGAAATCTGTGTGTAATTGTTTGTGTAACATTACCGTAGGGCAGAGCTGGGAAAAATCGATGTCAAAATCGATTAAATCGATTCTTTCTATTCTTAAAATTTAAAAAAGCTAGCTGTTGCCTGCAAAAACCAGTGGTTAATGGAATAACATTACTTTTTTGTTTTTATATTATGAAAATATGTTGTTGTTATTTTTTTATGTTTTTGAACCTTTAGTTTTCTTTATTTAATAGAAATTGAGCTTAAAAATAAACAGTTGTGTTTTCGATTTAATCGATGGTATTTTCTAAAATATCGAAAAAATCGATGTTTTGAGAATCGATTTTTCCAAGCATTCCCAATTCATTTTTTGGGAAGCAAGAGATTTAAGTAGAAGTTAAAACAAATAAAATATGTATAGAACTTCAGTTAAAAATAATTCCCTAATGAAATGACATATCTTAGAGGGTATTTACTATTTCATATACCATTCATATTGCTTTATTTACTCGTAGTAGTTCCTATAGAAAACTTTTCAGACAATAAAAAAAATAGCTTGCAAAAACGTAAAGCACAAAACGAAAGCCGAAAACAATTGACGGGCAAAGTGGGTTAGGAAAAAGAGGGGTAACCCCTTCTAACAAAATAAAATCGACAACGAAAACGAAGCAAATAAAAAACAAAAAAACTCTGATAAGACAAAATGCCGGTGTGTTTACTAACACAGCGATAACTAACCAAACCGATAAGGGTTATGGCAAAAAAGGAAAATTAGAGCCATCATCAGTGTGATTTTGGTAACGTTCGGTGAAGGTTCGGCGGTAACTGATCGAACCTGTCTCCAGGTGTGAAGGCAGCAAATCAATTAGCATATCTCCAACTGATAAGAAAAGTCGTAATTGTAATTAACCAGCTTTACCTTTGTTTCGTTTTTCTTTTTTATCCAGAAGTCTTGTCAAAGCAGAAGAGCAGCAGTCAAAGAAGTTGCCCAAAATGGAGGTTAATGCTGGCCAAGTGACCCAGCTGACCGGCGATAAGATTGCAGAGAATGACGCAAGGGAAACTAAAGTGGAGGAGAATCACAGCAGCTCCACGGTGAAGAGCCAACGAACTTCGACCAGCACTACTACCACCACCAAACGAGTGACCACCACCAAGACTAGCTCTTCCAGCAGCTCAATTAGCAGCAGTTCCTCGACCCTCCTGCCCGACATAGCCTTCAAGCTGCAGCCGTACGAGGAAAGGGAGGACAAGTGTGGGGAATCACCACCACCCATCACGACCACCGTTCACGAGGAACGACGTGTCCTAAGCGAACAGCAAACACTCAGCGAACTGAGGACAAAGGATTCGATTACCGGAGAGGAGCAGCTGGTGACCAGTGCCAACTCGAAGTCGAGCAGTGCCCGGTTCAAGAAGATCAGCAGCAACGACAACCTGCTCGACCTTGGCGACGAGCAGGAGATGCAGGAGCAGCCGTTGACCGCCACGATCAGCCAGGAGTCGAGTCTGAGGGAGCGGCTGGAGTGTCCGCAGGATAACCAGAGTATCGAGCGCGGTACCCTGACCCTATCCGAGCGTGGCAAGCAGCTGAGCCAGAGCCAGGGTCTGTCCACCTACACGGAGTGCGAGAGCAGTGAAAAGGAGTCTTACCTGGAGGCACAACAGGTCCTCAATGGGAATGGTACTCCCCAGGAATTGGATGTAAATGAGCAGCCCACCTTCGAGCGGGAGCTGAGCGAGACACTGACGGTGACCAACGATGGGGAAAAGCAGGTCACCAGGAAACTGGAGCAGAGCAAGGATGTGGCTGGCAAGAAGGGAGCCAAGCTGCTCAAGAAAACGGATGAAGAGCGACGTCTTGAGCAGGAGGCCCAGAAGCTAATCGAGAGTTACCAGAAGGTCAAGAAGGAGGCGGAAAAGCTCTACAAATCCGAGCTAAATGACGATGATCAGGGCTTCGATTTGAGTGCCTTCGAACAGGCGGAGAAGAAGAAAGAGCAGAAGGATACTCCCAGCCAGGAAACTGTGGAAATCATTAAAGAAGTTAAAGCTGTCCCTCAGCAAGTCAAGGAAGAGGAAGTACCTCCAGCTCAGCAGGAAGTAATTAAAGAGATTCAAGTCCCAGAAGAGATCAAAGTCGAAAAGAAGGTGTCCCAAGAGCAAGTCAAAGAGGAGATTGTCTCTAACGAAGCCTGGGAGAATGGTGTCCAGACAGTCTCGCGCCAGGAGGCCAAGGTAGTTCATAAAGAAAGTAAAGTGATCAAGGAAGGCTCAATCCAAGTAACCGGGACAACGACAAGTCACAAAGTGTCCACCGAAAAAGTCAAGGTATCCAAAGAAGTAGTCACAGTTTCCTCAAAGAAGGAAACTCCCACACAAATAGAGATCATCTCACCGCCCCTGGAGGAAGACCTGGGCTATGTTCTGCACAAACACATTATCCAAACGCCGGAGAAAATCAAGCCAGTGCCCAAGCCCAAGCCCAAGCCACCGGTGCCCACAAACAAACCCAAAATGCCAACTAAACCCAAGACGGCACCACCGCCAGTGCCCAGCAAGAGGAGCGATGTGTCGGTAGCCGCTCAGGCTAAGCTCAGCTCCAGCTCAGGCTCCAGTTCAGGCTCAGTCTCCCCAGGAGCTAAGCCCACGCCCAGTCAGAGACGCAGCAGCCTGGAGAGCTCACAGCCGCCCAAACCACTAGAGCGCATAATTGTCGGCGTGGAGCAGCCAATTATCAACCTGGCCAGCGAGGATTTGCCCAATGTGGCTGAAAAAGTCGCGGCAACAAGTCCTGTGGTGGAAATGCCGCCAGATGACCTGCAATTCGAGAGTCACCAGCTGCCGGATGATGAGGGCAAGCGGCCGCAGCAGGAAAAGGACTCGCACCTGCTCAGCGGGTCGTCATTCTCGTCGGTGACCACCACGCCCATAACGACACCAATTCTGGTATCTGCCACATCATCGATGGACTCGGTGCAAAGTGTCATCGAGGTCGTCAATGGCATGCCCATCATCAGCCATCAGCAGACGGACGACGACGATGACAAGGATGGTGATGATGATGAAGACGATGATGATGATGCGGGTGATGAGTTGCCGTTGGCCAATGGATCAAAGGAGACGACGACGACGGCTCCCGTCGAGGAGGTGACAACGTTGCCGCCCAACAGAGAACACGAATCAGGTGAGTCAAAGTCATTTATTTTTGGGGGTTCTCTGTTGAGTTTTGGAGTGAATAGCAATGGGAGTTTAATAGGTTTTTGTTTTTCAGTCCCCTAAAAATTTATAAATATTTTTAAACATATATATAAAATCTGCAAACTATTACGCACAGACTTTTATCCTCTTTGCCCAAAAACAAAAGTTCTAGCAAACAGTTTATGGCAGACTGTTTTTGGCCAGTTGCAGTTTGGCCAAAATACCAAGTTGCATGTCGTGGGATTTACGACTTTTCGCCTGCGGTGGCCAAATCCATCCATCCGTCCATACCTCCCCCCATAACCCCCCTCTCCCTGCTCTGTTTACTTGGTTGATTTTTTGACAGTCTCCCAAAAACCGACGTCGCACGCAATTATCAGCCACCAAATGAGTTTTACAGCCCCGACTCTGGTCCCGGGACCCTCTGGCAACTTGTCGCTTTGACCGCAATTTTTAGCTTCCTCTAGCCTCCGGTCACGCCCACGCCCATGCCCCACAGCCCACGCCCCTGCCCACGCCCACTTTTGAGCCCATTGCGTATGCAAAACGGCCACTAATGGACTTTATGGCCAAAGTTTTGTTTGGTCGGTTTCGGGTTTTTATTTTCGGTACGGGCAGCTTTTAATGGCACCCTTCCACCATGTGTGTGTGTGTGGGAATATCACTGGTTTTATTTACTATTTTTTGTTTTGGGTATTTTGTTTTTATTTTAATTGTTGAGATTATGCTATGTAAATTGAGTTTATCTTTCAATTTGTTACGGGATGATGTTTAATTAGATTAAAGTTAATTGTGATGGAAAGAACAGAGGAAGTAAAGGGTTTGTCATTAGTTATCTTAATTTTTGTTCAGAATCAAAGAAATGTATTTGGGATTATTTAGAATGCCAATAGGAGTGAGTTCAATTTCCTATTAATTTAATATTAATTTTAGCTAAAAGTTTTTTAATTTCATTATATTTAATTGAAGATAGTTAAGTACAATGCATACTACAGGAAATAATTTTAAAATCTAGAGCACAAGCTCAACATTAATCTTTAAAAATTTATTAAAATAATATTTAATTTTCGTAGCCTAAATATTCAATCCCAATGAGATTTGCCGCCTGTCTTTACCTATAAAAACCGCACGAAATTTGCATTTATTATTTTGGAAAAAGGCATTGAAAAAGATTGCTCATCCAACTGCAGCCTATATAAAATATTGTGGAAATGTTTTAATTAAACAACAAGAAAAAATGCAAATATTGGCATCAGTTTTATACCGAAATATCCCTGCCCCCACATAGTTTTCCTGAGTTCTGAAGCACGCGCCAAAAATATTTACATACCAAAATGCGTTTGCTGGGCGGCAAATGGGACTCCAGGATTCGGGGACTCTGTGGGTTCAGATCCTCCTTGCTGGGTGTGAAATAATAATGAAATTTGCCAGGACAAGCCGCATCCCATTTGCATATTGCAGAAGAACAGTGGAAAAGCTGAAACTCTGTTGATAAAACTATTAAAGTTTTGCAATATTTGAAAAGGGAATATATTTTTGAGAATAAACAGGAAATTGTAGAAATTATAGTTAGAGTTTTAGGATATAAATAAGGTAATTTTGTAGCTCTTAAATGCAAAATATATATTTCCTATAATAATAACATGAGTAATTATAAACAAAGGTAGAGTCGAGTCATAGATAAAAAGAAAGACTAATGTAATTAATTATTGCTTTTCCTTTCCTAATTATATTTCAGGTATTATCTTTTATCTGATAAATCATTTACCTACATATTCCCATTGTAACCAATCAGTTTGTTATTGCTGTTTTTAAAAACGGGCCTCGTTGTACAACTTCATTGCTTTTCATGTTGTTTTCACTTGCCGCCCGATAAAAACTCTTAACAAATAAGATTTTTCCAATGGAATATCCCTGAATGTGTGTGTGTGCGTTTCGCCCATATAAAAATATGATTATTTTCTTTCCTGTGGCCGGTCTATGTCATTATTTTATGTGGCCACGTAAAATTTGCAATTAAAGCAGCACACAATGCAAAGCTTCATTTTTTTTGTGTGTTTGCTTTACTTTATTTTATTTCTGCCTTGGACTATTTCGCTGTTGGGCAATAAAAAGAAATTATTATATTTTTACGCCGCGATGAGTTCCGTAATTATAGTTTGTTATTCCCAGACAAATGCATTGATAAGGTTGAGTTCGATGGGGATATGGCCTTATCTGTTGGCGGGTTTGTGTGCCATATGGTCGAAGGCCCTTATCGAGATTGTAAATAATTGGGTTTCCCGAAAAAGGAAAAACTTATATATATTGATAAATGCAGCCCACTATGTGAGGGCCACCGATGTCGGTTCAATCTCGGACACGCTTTTCAATCGAAACTGCCGCTGGGGAATGGGATTGATTTTTGAGTCAGAGTCTGGCTCTGAATCAGAATTGGACTGACTGAGCTGACTGACAAGCGGCACCTCAGCTGCAGCTCTCTGGAATAATTGCTTCTGGGCGCCCCGAAAAACCCCCTGGAAGCTTGTTCCCCCCCTTCCGTTTTTGTTTGTGGCTAATGAACATTCATGGAACATGGTGCTGACAATGTCTGTCGGTATATTTGCAAATTGGTTAAGAGGAAGTGGTGTTCCTTGGGCCAAGTTCATATGGGAAATAAATCAAAATTTGTTTTAAGAGCTTCTAGATATTTTGTAGAATTATGAATTGTGATTTTTATTGTGTTTTGAATTGTTACAAAATATGTTAAAATTTTGTAAAGCCTTATAAAAACCTTTACTTTTTTATACCCTTGCAGGGTATTATAATTTCAGTCAGAAGTTTGCAACGCAGTGAAGGAGACCTTTCCGACCCTATAAAGTATATATATTCTTGATCAGCATCAACAGCCGAGTCGATCTAGCCATGTCCGTCTGTCCGTCTGTCCGTCTGTCCGTCTGTCCATCTGTCCGTCTGTCTGTTTCTACGCAAACTAGTCCCTCAGTTTTAAAGCTATCTGAATGAAACTTTGCATATAGTCTTCTATGTGCTCTCACTGCTATATATGTCGGAACGGGCCGGATCGGACGACTATATCATATAGCTGCCATACAAATGTTCGATATATTTTTAGAAAAAAAATTATAACTTTGCTGTTTTTCAACATTTTTGCACCATTTTTTAGATATGGCCACTCTATATTATTTAAGAATTTTGGTAAAAATTTTATGAAAATCGGACGACTATATCTTATAGCTGCCATAGGAACGATCGGGAAATTAATCGAAAAAAATTATAACTTCGTTGTTTTTCAACGTATTTTCATCTACTTTAAGTTATACGCTTTTTTTATTATTCTAGAATTTTGGTATAAATTTTATAAAAATCGGACAACTATATCATATAGCTGCCATAGAAGCGATCGGCAAATGTATAAAATATGTAAAGCTGGGAATGTAAAACTGTAACTGTCAAACTGTAAACATAATAAGTATAGGTAAAATGTAATGAAACTCTGTTTTGTGAGTGTTTTCAGCATTTAAATCTATAATATAAACATCGAAACCAATCTGCAAGGGTATAAAAACTTCGGCGTGCCGAAGTTAGCTTCCTTTCTTGTTTTTATATAATTTTAAAAGGTATTTTGTGAGTTCAAGAACATTTGCTAAATAAAAAAACAAACCTTCATATACCCTTAATTATTTGGGAATTTAATAAATTACTAATTTTACTTGAATATATTTATGGTTTAATATTTTCTTTAATTTTTGTTTTGCATATTTCTGATCAATGTTTTTTAATTAAAAACTTAAATAAATATTTCCTAAAAAAGAGCATTTATTGGTTACTATTTCCCCATATTTTCAACAATTCTCCACCTATTTTCTTGTGTTTAATTGACTAAACATGCATTTTCGACATTTGCAGGTCAAACACCCGGGGAAACCCCTAAGCTTATCCCCTTTTCAATTTAGCTCCCCAACTCTGCCTGTGTCACGAATGTTGTGTAAAAATTTATTGCCTTTGTGTGAATTCGAAATTAATTTGAAATTAATTTTCAATTTCGCTGCAGTTGGTTCAGTTCAATTGGTTTCGTTTTGTTTCGTTTTCTGTTGAGTTTTCCTTGTGTAATTACATGCTGTTCTGCTTTGTTGCTGTTGTTTTTCCTGGTTGTCAATGGCGCCTCGGGGTCCTTTGATTAGATTTTGTTGCTAATTTTATTGTTGTGCGATTTTTGCGGCTTTTTCAATTGTTTTTGCCATGGCTGCGGCGCCTGCCTCTGCGCCAACAATGAGCAAAAGCATTCGCGGATGTTTGCAAATCCAAAACCAAATCGAAATCGAAACTGAATCCAGTGTAAACTAATGTTTCTATGGTAGTTTTGCCAGCCGTACTGTGTTCATTCGTTCGATTTGTTTTTCTTCCTGCTAAAGGATTTATCTTTGCCCCCTTTTTTGAGTTTTATTTGCTTTGATTTTCAGTTGAGGGAAGGGTCTGCTTTGTTTGCTTTGCTTTAACCGGGCCAAAGCTTTTAAAAGTGCAGAATCAATGTTGACCTGGTAACTGGTTTCCCCCTTTTTTGATGCATATTTATAATAAGGATAAAGGTTGTGACCTGACTTATATTTTCCTAAGAAAAGGAACTTTAAGCTATTCATTCCGTCACTCATCTTCAGGCTTTTGCAACTCTCTCAGCTGTCCATCATAATTTTTGCATATTTCTCTCATTTATAGAGCATCAGCATCATTAAGCTACATATAGCTTACTTTTTCATCAACTGTCAAATTAAATGCCATTTGAAATCAATCACAACGATTAGACATTTAGTGGCATTTTGTGGTTGCAGCTTTTTGGTGTTTTGTGGTTTTTCCTACAGGGAATTTTCCACTAAACAACTAACAACAACATTTTGCAATGAAAATGCTTCTTAAAAAAGGATTTTTCAACTTTAAACAAATAATATAATACTTAAAATTCATACAAAAGATCACCTGTGACCCACAAAG